TGGAAGTAGAGTCCGTTCGCTTAACATTCACGAGTGGAAGATCTCGAGTATTTCATCTTCATGACTTGTGATTTATTCGGTGCGTTGGCGTCTCCACAGCTGCAGCAGAACATGCACACCGTCAATGCAATCACTTCATCTTCTTCTGTTAAATGTTGGCTCTTCAATCATAGACGTTCAAGCAGACAAACCTCTCACACACAGAATGAATTCATGTTCTCTTGCTGTTAGATTTATTTGAATTCATTCATTTGCAGATTTCATCAGTTAGGTTGGTTCTCGTGCGGACGGTTGAGCAACATTACAATAAACACATGTCACGGGTTTAAATGTACATTCTACGGGTTAGTTATTAATAATAAGCAACAATCAGATGATTAATTATTATCAATTTCATTGCGTCTTCATGGTGAAATAAGAATTAACTAAAGTTGAATTAACCAAGACTGTGCCATGTATCAGTGATGGTAACTATAAGTATTACCACACACTTCTCTGATAGAGTCCATGTGGATTCATGTTAGTGCAACAGTAACGTTGAATCAGCAGTAATGGTGGACAGCAGCAGAGAGGATGAACAGCGTTGCTTCAGCCATTAACTGAATCAGTCGGCAGTAATGTAATGATGTAGGAAGCTCCTTCTGGATCATCTGGAATATAGGAGTGTTTGGAAGCGGCTTAATCTCTCTAAGTAATATCGTTCAGAGCTGGAAGTGTGTGAATTACCAAGTAATTCACTAATCTCTCATATCTTGGAAACATCAGCTGTAAGTGGTTTCTGGTGGGCGGTGGAAGCCCCTCCCCCACCGTCCTGGAGAATCCATGAATCCATTATCTGTGCCGGCTTATCGTGAGCTGGATCGCAGGCGGCTGGAGGCCCGAATGCAGAGGACATCCCACAGATCTGACCCTTATTCTGCGTAGATCTTTCATGTAGCGCTCTCTTCTAGTGTCTCCTGCCAGCTATTAACATCGTCCAATCATAGACCTGGGAAATCTGCTTCATTAAAAATGCCAAAATACAAGAATAAAAAGAGCCGATAAAGAAAAAACAAGATGGCGACGGCCATTATCCAAGATGGCGGCGGCGAAAAAGCCGAACTTGAGGCTTCAAAACATCATTCCACAAACCAATGAGTGACGTCACGATGGCTACGTCCACTTCTCATACAGTCTGTGAACAAACAAGACAACAAGACAACAGGGCCGCTGGACACTGAAAACATGTTTCTAAAGGTCCTCGTGCTCTTTAAAGGGAGTCTAACACCTGAAGAAGAACCACAAGTAGAGACTTCTTTGTCCTCAGACTGCTTGTCGTACGGAGATCATGTTAACTCTCCATCACGAGGCATGTGCATCATCGTTAATGTTCTTTGGTGCCGATAACGCCGCGTTGAACTGAATCGGTGTCGCTGTCTGGTTTAAAAAGATCTGATCTCAGTGTGGAACCGTTCTCTACCTTTATTTACCTGATCAATGAGGAAGAATGGAAGACGTTCTTTGTGCTGATTGAAAATGGAAAGATTAATGTATTCATTATAAAGACTAAAACTCATATGCATGACTGATATCCACACACACACACACACACACACACACACACACACACACACACACACAGGTGATGGTTATAAATGACCCAGATATGATTCGCCATTAAAACAGCATTTCACTAAAATTATGTTTCAGTAACAAGGAGGCACAAGCGTGTGTGTGTGTGAGCTGTCCTTGACTTTCTGGCAGAAGAGATGGATGAGTTGTAATTACACTGATAGAAAAATGATCGGAGGAGGCGAAGAGGAGGAGGAGGAGGAGGAGGAGGAACAAGGTTGTGCATGTTTGTCCTTGTACGGCAGCGTTGGACGCGTGTTTGTGCATATTTCTGTTCTTTAAATGTTACGGTTGTTAAAGGGACGATGGGACATCAGCTGAATCCAGCAGTGGAAGGTTTTTAACATCAGAATGATAACCGAGGAGATGATAAACAGTGAGAGCAGCCTTACTCACACATCTCAGGTGGAGCTGATTATTAGCTTCATATATTAATAATTAATCTGCTTTCAGAGAGAGCTCACGAGGTGAAGAGGAACGGATCATGTGGGTGTAATAAAAACAACTGGAAGTGATTTACCGTGGTTGGCTCTGCACCAGCATCACTATTACAGTCCTTTAGACACTAAGTGCCCAGTCGTCACTTTCTAGTCATAGATCACTCTTGTTTTTGAATCATAACTCAGTGGAACCGGAACACACAGACCAGCTACACCTCATTTCATATTCAGTGCGACTCTCATAGGACATCTTTACCTCCAACGTCTGCAGCTAATCCACGTCCCTGCAGCTACTGACAGACCACGAGCAAGATGCTGCTTGTGACTCACAATAAACATGCGTTTAGCTTTTATTCAGTCATGCAGTGATATTCATCTGTTCTTACATGAGCACACTGCATACAGGAGCTGCTCACAGATAATTCTGCATGCTGATATGTAAACAAATACAGGCTAAAACGAAGCAGGGTCCTCAGCTGACTCAATCTATGGCAATGAAGATATTAGTGAAGTCACGTGTTTGTTTTTACATCTCTGGATCCGGGACATGGTCCTCTATTCATATAAAGATATTTGCCCCGTTTAGAAAACACGGGGACAGTTTTCTTAATTTTGGCTGAAGTGTCACAGTTAACAGAACCTGACCACAGCGTCCTCATGTGATCACATCTAGGAGGAAGTAATGAAACCATGTCGACCTCGGTACAGAAGCAGAAGTTAATTATCTCTATTCTCAAGACAGCAAACTGTTATCTTGAGTTCACATCTTAATTACTGTGTTATCCTGAGAAAACACATCCTGCTCTCTGACTCCATCACATCATCCGACGTTTTGAGTCACTCGTTATCTAGAGATGGAGAATGATTTTCTCTTGTGGTATTTTGAGCCAGTTGTGCTGATCATAAAATCATTTCATTAGGATATTATCTGGAAATAAATCATTGTTTTCATGCGATAACGACTTGAATGTGTCATTTTATCAAGATGACGAGTTCTCGAGTCCTCCATGACTATAAACTCTGAAGGTTTTCTGCCTTTATTTGAACTTGGAGCTGCCAGATTTATCCGATTACGTTGAGTTAATAATAATAATAATAATAATAATAATAATAATAATAATAACAACAGAAGAGGGGAATTGCTTTTTCTGAATTCCCACAACTAAACACCACAAGCCAAAAGAACGTTTTCTCTTTGTGTTGAATCAAAGAATAAGATTAAAAAAGGATGAACATTGTATAATCGATGTTTTAATGGGCGATGCCACCGATACCAAATCAATAAAACCAATACCAGAGAAAATATTCAGTCCAAGTCTCAGTTTCCCCAGTTAGTGAAGACAAGAAGAGACAGATGTGTAGATCAGTACCGACTGCTTTGTGATGACAACTCATATGGAAATGATTCATAATCTACTTGTCTATGCAGGAATCCGTGTTGAGGGTCAATTAGAGAAGTCGATGCAGAGCTGGAGGGTATTTTTTCTATCTGCACGTGTAACGTTGGCCAGAACGAGGCGAAGCACATCCAGAACCAATGAGTGGTTCTACAAAACTCCGGTTCTGAGAAGTGAAGCCAAAGCTTCATGTGTTAAAGCTGCATTCTCTCTAGTGTCCAGCAGGGGGCGACTCCTCTGGTTGTATAGAAGTCTATGAGAAAATGACTCTACTTCTCTCTTGATTTATTACCTCAGTAAACATTGTAAACATGAGTTTATGGTCTCAATCTCTAGTTTCAAGTCTTCTTGTGGACCGTCAAAAACCAAGATGGTGACGGACAAAATGCCGAACTCAAGGAGTTAAAACTGTAGTTGTCAACCCGGTCAGTGGGTGACGTCTCGGTAACTTCCTCCACTTCTTAAATACAGTCTGTGTACAGAACAGATATGAGATTCTGGACCTGGAGGATTTCCCAACGCTGCAGAGGGATAACCTGTCCTCTTCTCCGCCTCTCTATCAGAGGATCTACCAGAGTTCTTGGGATTAAACACTACTGATAATTCAAATTCCACAGACAGAGGTAGTAACCATCACTAGACGTAGACATTTAAAACGTCTCACTTCTTGGTCCTGACCTCTTTCCTCTGATTATCTTCGATATCAAGCTATCACAACTTCGTTATGTCAAATATTGATGACATGAAACACAGCTTAGAGGTGATCAGGGCAGTTAAAGGTGCAAGATCCGGGATTGCCAGCATTTCGATTGCCACCCGACAGCTCTCAACATGGCGACGGCGGCTTGCAGCTAACAGCGCAAAACTACAGCAACAGAGCTAACAGAGTTAGCCTGAGGGCGAACCAGAGGGTGGATGCTACGCAACAACGCAGTTGGTCAGGACAATGTTATCAGGTGTAACCCGCCGTACGAGAGCAGAGTCATCAACACACACATTACTCCACTTCATCTTTACTTCGACAATAGCTGTTTGCTGCTTCATTGATGCTCTGAATGTTTGATACAGCTCTCCCAAATGTGTCCTCATGTTGAGATAACGAGCTCCTGTAATTCATTATCCACACAGCTTTCATCACAGGGTTTGTTGTTCTACTCTCAGCCCCGAGACCAACAGGAGACCCAGAAGAAGAAAAGAAGAAGGTCCACAGAGAATCCACAACATTTGGTTTTGTGAACATACTGAGATCATTAAGTCAAGATCACAGGGTTCTGAAGAAGCAGAGACGAGCAAATAAATGTCTGATGTGAGGAAAAGCAGATAATTAAGTCTTGATGCTGAGATTAGAGTTAGAAAAACACCTTTAATGCTTGTTGTCTTATCGTTTTTCAATATGTTTCAGATGCATTCATTATGTTCTTCCCTCTTTGTTGTGCTGTTATTACCGTTTTCATCTGTTGTTGAAATATTCTGCACAAAATGTTCAGAGAGGCAGATACTGTGTGTGAAAGTCGTAGTGTGTGTGTGTGTGTGTGTGTGTGTTGAGACTGACCGTCACGCCGTCGTCGGTCTGCGTCTCTCTGTAGGTGAAGTTGCAGACGGCCCAGGCCAGGTAGTAGGTGGACATGCGCGGCGTGCGGGCGAAGCGGTTGGTCACCCAGCCGTCCTCGTCCGACAGCGAGCTGCTCTCCACGGGCATGTTGGCGAGCGAGGTGTACTGCGCGTCGTGGCGGAGGGTCAGGGAGAACGTGGCCTTGTAGACGGGCTCGTCGAAGCACGGGAAGGCCTTCCGGGCGTGGATCGGACTGAACTGGGTCACCGCCAGGTAACTGGGAGAGAAACAAAGGAACCGTGCTATTGTCAAATGAGGGGAGAGATGAGACTTTCAGATGAGCTTCACATGGTTCAAAGAATGACAATAAACCTGATATTACTGCGTCAGAATAAAGGGTGTTTAACAAAATAAGAGACATTTTATTGTGAAGAATTTAGAGGAAAATGTGTTCACCACCAAACTGGCGTACTTATGTTAGCAGCTATTCTCCAATAAAACAAGTCTACTGATACTGCAGGGAGGAACAGTAAGCAGCGAGAATAACCGGGACTTTTATTGTGAAAAATGTACAGGAAATGAATTGTGTTTGTGCCGATTAGAGGTGCTTTCTTAGTAGATATTCTTCAATAAAACAAGTCAAGCAATACTGCCGGAAATAAAGCAGAAATAAAGCACCGCCTGATACAAGCTGTTAAAGGGAGACAGTGAGTCTCACATTACATCATTATATTGACGAACCACGATGTGCTCCACATTTGGCCGTGCATCCTAATGATGTCAATGAAACAGCAGAGTCGCTGTTGCATTCAATGACCCGCGAGGTGACCCATAATTCATCCATCACATCGTCACGTGTGTCTTTAAATGGTCTGCTCTCCTCCGGTTGAAGCTTCAACACACAAACTTCTGGAATAAATCCACACGGAACGTGTGATGCCGGATTTTAATGTCAGTCTTTGAACCTCTCAGAGGTATCAAAGAAGAAATGGAAAAGGTGGAATCAGAGTTCGGAGGGTTAAAGATAATCCTCCAGAGTCGGCTGTCAACACAAGTTTTTACATTTTGACTTCCTCAGACGTTCTTGTTCGAGCTTCCTCAGAGAGAGATAATCCAAAATAACAGGAGAACGTTTTCTGTTTCCTCCTGATTTCTTTAAGCCGAGCTGAACGTTTTCATATCGGAGCTTTGTCACGTCCGTCTGTCAGTCACCTGACAGACAGGAAGGAAATTAAAACGCCAGGAAATAATCCCTCTGGAAACTTTTCTCCAGGTGTTTGTGGAGGAAGAGATGAAAAGGAACAAGAGTGGGAGGAGGAAGAGGAGGACAGGAGAAAGTAGAGGTGGAGGAAGAGGAGATGAGGAGGAAAAGGTGAAAATATCAGAAGCCGCCGTGGGACTAAATATTCAAAACAGAGGAGGGATACTGGAGGAGAACGATAGGGAGGAAGAATAGAGGTAGAGGAGAAGAAAGGATGAGGGGGAAAGAGAAACGTGAGGAAGACGAAGGGGTGGAGGAGGAGGATGAAAAGGAAGAGGAAGATGAGAGAAGATCCGAGGAGAAAGAAAGAGAGGAGAAGAAGGAGATAAAAAAAAGAGGAGGGGAAGCTGAGGAAGAGTAGAAGAGAAGATGAGAGTGAGGAAGAAAGACTGGGAGAGAGTTGAAGGGGAAGAGGAGGATGTGAGGAAGAGGAGGGGAGGAGAGAGGAGGAGGAAAGGTGGACATAAGAGAAAATGAAAGGTGTTGAGAGATGATGAATGAAAAAGAGAGCTGGAGGAGGAGAGGAAGAAGAAGAGCAAAATACGAGGAGAAAGTGAGTTGGCAGAGAAAAGCAGGGAGAAGAGGAAGAGGAGTGAAGGAAGATGGGGAGAAGGAGGAATTAGAGGAGGATTATAAAAAAGTGAGAGGAAAAAAAGAGGGATAAGATAAGAACAATGTGGAGGAAAGGAGAGAAAAGGAGGAGAATCAGGAAAGAAGAGGGGGAAGGCAGAAATAAAAAAGAGGAGAGAGAGGAGGAAAATAAAGAAAAGAAAGGGGGAGAAGAAGGAGAAGATGAGGAAGAAGAAGGAGGGGAGAAATATGAGATGAGAAGGAGGAGAGGAAGGAGGAGAGGAAGGAAATGAGTGGAGAACAGAGGCAGTGAGAAGAAGAAATAAACTGAAACAAGGAGTGGAGAGATGATGATAGAGGGAGAGAGGAGGGAGGAGAGAGGAGGTGAAAGACGAAGGGAGAAACAGAATAACAAACAGAGGGCGAGCGAGCTGGACAGAAAGAGAGAGAGAGAGAGAATAATGGAGAAGCCTGAGAGGGACGAGATAAAGAGAGAATCTGTAACACACACACACACATTCATTCGGCATCGCCACACTTCGAAAATGGCATCATTTCCTGCTGTGATGTTTGATATCATCTCTGCGTGAAGACACCACAGAAGAAGAGTGCAGGCACGTGAATGATACAACGGACACACACACACACACACACACACACACACCTGACTCAACAGTTTCCACTTCAGTAAAATCTCTGAATCTAAATGAGATTGTTGTGTGTGTGCGTATTCCGTGTGTATTAGAAGTGTATTTCCGTTCTATATCTATCACACACACATTTTGGACACCGATCTCTTTAAGCACGTTTCAAATTACAATTCCCCGCTTTCACATTGAAAAGCCTGCAGAGTGTGCATGTGTGTGTGTGTGTGTGTGTGTTGCTGCAGCTATAGTTTTACACAGGAAGCCGGTGAAGAGGCTGATTCATCAAGTTTAGTGTAAAATATAAGATAACATATGCGACTGATGGAGGAGGAGGAGGAGGGACGTAGGGTGAGGATGTAGGATACAAGAGAAGTGTGACTCATCCCTTTCCAAGCTTATCGGAGAACTACGATGGCCTTCAGGTGACATAAGAACTTCTCTGGAGCCAGTGTTTGGTTTGTCCATTCTGGGCTACTGTAGAAACGTGGCGGACTCCGCCTCCTTGTCTTTATGTAGATATGAAGGGCTCATTCTAAGCCAACGACAACACAACCAGTCTCACTTTCGGGTGATTAAACATTACAGTCATTCAGCAGACGCTTTTATAGTTCAGTTTCTATCACACCGAACAGCTACGGGAGCAATTTTTAGGGGTTAAGTGCCTTGCTCAAGGACACATCGACGTGTGACTAGTGGAGCCGGGGATTCCTCCTCCTCCTCCTCAGATTGACTTTATAAAGTTGACTACCGTGTTATATAGGTTACCCTCCTACACACACACGCCTCAGTATTGATCTGAAACTATCACAACGAGGGGAGTCGGGGGAGTGATGAAGAGGAAGACTCTCACCCCCCAAAAACCTTCTCTCTCATTAACTCTCCGGCGTTCTTTGTTCCTCGTTAGCTGCCTCGCTTCTCCTCGTTAACTGGAGCTCCTGTCCTTGTTAAAAAGGAAGCTTCTCTGAAGAACAACAGCCTCCGTCTAATGAAGGAGCTCCTCACAGCTCTGCTCGGGTTCCTTTTAGAAGTCTGGGTTTCAGGGATCTTCTAGAGCAACAGTAATTGCACGAGCTCAACGACAAACCGAAAGCAGAAGGTGTTGGTCGGGCGTACCGTGTGAGCGCCTCCACCTGCTTTTTTTGGTTCATATGTGCAGCAGTGCAAAGACAGATGGAGACTAATAAACACACTCTCAGCCAATCACATCGCTCTGAAAGAGAGCTGAGCCAATCACAGGGAAGCATGAGGGGAGCAGCTCTACACGCGAGTTCTACTGTGTCTTTGCTGTCGATAACAGACCGGTCTGGTGTGTGTGTGTGTGTGTGTGTGTGTGTGTGTGTGTGTGTGTGCGTGCGTGTGATGTCACGTGTCATGTGAGCAGCAGACCAGTGGAGTCGGAGACTGAAACGTTTCAGACTGGTTTCACTGGGAAACGACAGCAAACTCATCACGAGCATAAAGATCAAAACTGAGCCTGACCAGTGATACTTTAGGCTGTGTGTGTGTGTGTGTGTGTGTGTGTGTGTGTGTGCTAATTAATTCCCCCCCGTCCTCCCAGCATTTAAGTATTTAAGCCCAGTCTGAGGTTTATAGTAACTCCTGATATTAAACTAATCTCTAGTTTCCTGAATTAAATTATAATTTCTAAACGATCAGCTGTGATTTTGTACTATGCGTCTCTCCGCGCTGCTGCTTAGTCATCACATTAACATACCGTATTTATGGCTGAGATTGGCACCTCTGAAGGGTGTTAGTCATGTGTCTGGAATCTGACGTATTCATATGTATTCATCCCAGCAGCTTATTGCTAATACGAGTTCTGGCACGAGCCGAAAACAAGGTTAACACGGATGTTCTTGAAAAGCTTTTCTCTCCCGTAGAAAAGTGTGTTTAGAGCACAATGTGGAGCGTAACAGGTTTCATTCAGCCTCAGCTAACAGGTTGCTGTGTTGTCGTGGAGCTCTGCTGGAGTGGCACTATTGGTGCAGAGAGACGGCAAACTGCAAAGCTCAGGTCACACATCGTGCTCCTGACGGATTAATTCATCAACAGATAATTCAATCTAACGACTCGTGGTTGTACGTCTCCACTTCTTCATTTTATCCTTCCAGACATTTATGTGAAATTGTCATAATTATGGCCAAAAACAAACTTGAGTCCGGGTTTGAAGGCCTTCCCGAGACGCTCTGAGGCGTTAGAAGACGATGATGTAATGATACTAAAGGAAGACAATACAGAAATCAATGACGCAAGAAATCTGCATTAATACCAGTGAAGGAAACAGCGTCACACAGACGCACCGCTGTTTACTCAAACATCTGATGCCAACATTTAAATAAAAAACTATTTATATCGATGTTTTTATTCGTTACATTTTGTTTTATATGTTACGATGTTTCCTTAAACATAAAACAATGATCCCCGTCTCTTCCACTCACTTATTGATCAAACACTGGTAACAGATCGGCACTTAAAACTTAAAAAGATGTCGTCATCGGGACTGAAATAAAGTCTTTCCTCTGTGACCCTTTTTAAAAGTCGTTGGGTTTTAGTGTTGGTAAATTTGTAAGATTTGAAATCGCTGAATAACTTTTAAACACAACTTCCTAAACTCAAGACTTTTTGGAACAAAGGATTGTCTCAAGACAATGAAACAGAAGACGAAGTTATAGTGTCGTGTGCACAACCTCAACGCAAAACTAAATATTTATGAAATTTAGTTTCCGACTCTCATGATATAAAACAGAGAAATGAAGGTACAGTCCTTATATGGTCATGACTTCTGATTTAATCAATTAACCACAACTGTGTTTCTGCATTAAGCAGAGCGGAGGTGGATAAGATGTTCCCCACACACACACACACACACACACGTATACACTCACACACACACACACACACACACACACACACACACACACACACACACACAGATGGCGCTCCACACGGAGACAAAACTCATGCATGAAATAATAAATGTATCAGCACACAGTCTGTTTCCCATCAGCACCGAGGGGAAGAAATCTGATGTGGAAACAACTCTGCAGCAGAGGCTTATGGGAAATTCATAAGGAAGGGAATGAGTGGTTTGATAAGTGGAACACACACACACACACACACACCCAACTGTCTGCGGTGTGTTTGAGTTAATCAATGATGTCGTGGATGTGAAACTCTGACCTTTTCTAGTCAAACCACCTGCTGCTACAGCAAAAATGAGTGTATCCCTGTGTGTGTGTGTGTGTGTGTACCGTCTCTCTCTCTGCAGGGTGTAGGAGCTCCGGAAGAAGCCCAGCAGCTCGTCCTCGATGGTGGCGTCGAAGCTCACGTTGAGCCGGTAAACCCTCATGGGCTTCAGCTCGCGGTGCAGAACCACCACGTACATCTGATTGGCCGGGAAGGGGAAGTGGCGGTGGACGCGCATGGCTCCGCCCCCGGGCCTGTTGGCGGGGCGGCCGCCGGCACCGCCCTCCGCTGTGACGGACACCCGGTCCACCTGAAGGGAGGAAGAGGAAGAATGATGGACCGTGAGGTGATGTCTTTTAAATTGACTATAAAGTAACAACTTGTAGATCTAATTCAATCTAGTTCACATTTTCCTGTAGCAAACTCTGTAGGAAGAAGACACCTCCATTGTTAATCCTCCGGATCTGGATCTGTCCTAGTCTAGACTGAAGGATCCGAGTTTAATTTAAAGTTACTAAGAGGAACTTTCATCTTCTGGAAGTCCTGGTGGTCCCTGTGGACTAAAGTGGTAGTGTAGCACCAGACACCATCCCATTAAGAATAACTACATAATAGACCATCTTCTCTCTGATGGTCTCGTTTACTGATGGAGGTCTGATAGAGGATCAGGATCAAACTGAGACTGGTACATCCATTTGTCTGTGTGCCACTAAATCAGCCATTAAATCATCTCCTATATGCTCGTTTCCTGTTTGATGCTCTTAACCAGCGAAATTCCACCTTAAAATTGCCCATAAATGTTCTGTGTATCACAATACTTGTGTACAAATCAATACGCTGTTAAAAGAACCTTCGAACTGGTGAAGTGAAGAAGTAAAGTAATGAAAACCGGCGAGGAAACGGTCATTAAAACAGAAACGGAGAGCCGAGGTTTGAAGAAGAACCGGTGGAACAAAGCTCAGATGAGCAGCAGTCCATGATGGGAACATGCCCGGCCAACAGTGGGAACCATTAGGAGGATGCGAGTCTTTGTTGTCACACATCAGCGATCCTCGGCCAATCAGACGCTGAGCGTGTGCGTCCGAGTTAGTTCTTTGATGAATGAGGAGATCGATACGATCGGAGCGCCTGCTGACTCGGAGAGGAAAGGTTGAGGATTAAAACGCTGGTTGTTGAGGGTTTTTCTTCTTCTGGCGAGTCAGAGAACGCAGCGCCACGCTTCGCGATGCCTTCAAATGCTCCACTCAACCACAAAGCTCTGTGTGAAAGGTGTTTGTTGACATTGTTCTTGTTTGAATACTAAATCTTTATTTGTCTGTTTTTATCTAATCTGTGTGGTCGGTCATGCGCCACATTTTCCTCCACATATACTGACACCAATCGTTGCCTGAAGGAAATCAGCCTGAGACCGGATGATGCGTTTGTCTCAGCAGGACTAGTTCCCGTAAGAAAACCAGTATCATGGTTAGTTCATGAAATAATCACAAACAGGACTCAACCAGAAGACCATTGTTCAACACCGAGCTGTGGTTTTATGGAAGTGGTTGCCTCGACCAAACTGTTGGCGGTGTTGTTGCCTCGACCAAACTGTTGGCGGTGTTGTTGCCTCGACCAAACTGTTGGTGGTGTTGTTGCCTCGACCAAACTGTTGGTGGTGTTGTTGCCTCGACCAAACTGTTGGTGGTGTTGTTGCCTAAACCAAACTGTTGGTGGTTTTGTTGCCTAAACCAAACTGTTGGTGGTTTTGTTGCCTARACCAAACTGTTGGTGGTTTTGTTGCCTAGACCAAACTGTTGGTGGTTTTGTTGCCTAAACCAAACTGTTGGTGGTTTTGTTGCCTAAACCTAAGTGTAAGTAGTTATTTTAAGGCCAACCATGATGTTTTTCTTTAACCTTCGTAGGTGGTTGTGTTGCCTTAACCCTACTTTATTTTTTTGTAATTAATGTCGTGCCAAAGAAAAAAGTCATGCAGAGAGACAAGAAAATAACTTCTACTTTACTTTAGTTGAATGTTGAATACATTTGGTATTCGTGACATTTCTTTAACTCTGAGAACAAAGCGCTCCTTGCAGGAGTATTTCTTCTCCGCTCTTTCTCCCAGCAGGTTGTATTTTTATGCAGATGTTTTTTTGTCTCTCTTCTCGACATAAAGAAAAATGATCATGCACGAATACCTTGGTAGGAGACCCGCCTGGCACCCAACAACACCTCTTAATTCACAGTGTGCTCCCACGCCAACACAAAAAGGAGCTGCAGGGTTTTTAATTGGCCTCTGCCCAAATTAGACGGATTCATCCTCCTCTCACATTAGCCGAGATGACCGGCCTGAAAAATCACGTTGCTGGGGCGTTTCTCCGAGGCGTTCTCCCAACACGCGCTCGTCTCAAACAATTCGGCTGAAACAGCAACTTTGGCGGTTAATTAGCCTCGTTAGAGAAATCTCTGAGACTAAATCTGGAAATAAACAGTCTTTGTTAGACAGCGGGTTGTTGTTTTTCTCTCCCCAACACACTCGGAGCAGATCTCCGGATGCAAACATGGAGAGAATCGTCAGGAAAGTTGTCAAAGCGTTCACATCTACAGACTCGTCTTCATCAATCACTGTCATACGTGCTGCTGAAGAAGGTACAGAGATTATTAAAAATATTCACTTTTGGTTTCTTACTAAGAAGTTCTGGGGTTGGGAAGCGATATTAAAATTGACTGAACACGTTCATGCTCCCCAGGGGATGAACCTGTTGGAATCCAATGGCCCAAAATCTTCAAGCCCTATATAGAGAATTTAATTTCTTTATAACGATATATATCACGATTTAGCCTCGTCTTCTGGTGGTTCAGAAAGCAAATAGTCTAAATGAAACCATTGAGAGACGATGAATTATAATTAATGCACTATCCTCGAGAGGTAATTTAAAAGTTAAAACACTCCGAGAGCTCGGTCACACCAGCAAAACAGAACTCAAGAGTCGCTGTCGTGTAAAGCCGAACGTCGGCGAACCTTTGACTCGAGAACTCGTACGGATGTCACAGCGGCGACAGCATTGGAGCTTCGCATCCAATTAACCTCAAACTAAACTACGATCAACAACCGACGGCAGTACGAAACATGTGAGAAGTCGGCAAACTCCCAAACAACGATTTTGCAGAGATTGCCTTAATATATAAGGAATTTGCCATTTGTCGGAATGAAGCCGATATCGTGAGTCGTATCACAGATATCACTACGAAGATACCGATGTTCCTAAAGATAATTGGTGTTTACCAAGGATTTCTACAGATTTATGACAGGCCACCGTACCTCAAGGTGGTCGGTGTGCAGCACGATGAACCGGGTGGCGTTGACGCACTCCAGCTCGATGCTGACCTCTCCGGAGAAGGTGAAGTTGTCCATGTAGATGGCGAGCCGCAGGTCGTAGTGCCGCGGCCTCAGCGAGCCCGGCAGCCGGGAGTTCCTCCACGGCTGGACCGCCTCCTCGTCCCCCCTCTCCCCCGTCCTCTCCCCTCTGGTCCCGTTCAACTTCGTCGACCCCCTTGAGCCCGACTCCCCTGTCGCCCCGTCGCCATCTCGCCCGGCGCACTCCTCGAAGCGGACGCTGAGCACCACGGCCACCGCCGTGACGATGATGAGGGTGAGTATGGACAGGGCGAAGCCCAGCACCAGGCGTTTGTGCACCGTGATGTGGCGCTCGGTGGTTCGAGGCCGGACCACCACCGAATCCGCCCACTGGTCCGAGAGGCCCCGGCCATTGCGCATGGCGCCCGGGCTGCTGTCGTTTAGCCCCATTTAGCCGAAACGGCACAGAAAGTTCAAAGTTCAGGGTCAGAAACGAGTCCCGATGCAGAAAAACATGCGCAGGTCTGACTCCAGCTCGTTTACAGACGGTTCGATTTGTTGTGATCAATCTGTCCAACCTTCGATCTGTTCCCGCTGCAGTTATTCCTCTGAAAACCTGAACGCCGATGCCGGACCGCTGTTAACGTTCCTCCGCTGAGGCGGGAAATCAACACCGCGGCACGTTTCACATTTCAGGCAGCAAACGGACAAAACAGGAAGGACGAGGCGGTGGATGTGTGCTTTGGTTTTTGTGGTGAGGGGGGAAAAAAAATCCCCAAAAGAAAATCAATGCTGCATGTCTCGATTTCAAGTTGTCGAGGAAGAGGAGGAGGTTTGCTGTTGAGGATGTGGCTATACAGTGAGCGGACCATCCATAGGCTTTCACTGTAAACCACCACAGATAGAAGCGTCAGACTGGGAATTAAGTCTGGTTAAGACCCTTTCTGCTGGATTTGCTCACATTAAAATCACTTCTGGATGATGGAAATCCTCAGAAACAGTCACTCGATCCGCATCGAATCCAAGACGGAGATCCTAAACCGAAGCTTTAAACTAACACGGGAGATTCAAAGCAGCAGGTTATCGTCTCCTGGTTGTTATAAAGTTAATTTCTTGTGAGTTAAAAGCTCTTCCAGAGCTGCTGCTAAGCATAAATAAAGCCCTATTGGACTATTATGGGATTATTATCATGATACAGAGGGATATGAAAGTGCCTCACAGAACATTAAGGTCAGTATTAGGAGCCAGATGCATCTACGATTATTATCATTATTATGATTACAATTCAGTTTTGGACTCAGGATAAAATCCACGACTTTTCACATCTAAACCAGGTTAAATGTTCTTATGTTTATATTAAAAAAACATTAATATTTGTATTTTTTTCAGGAAATTGACTGAGTAAGTCTTGGCTCAGTTTTTTTAGTAATGTCTGAAAATCACCACATGCTAAAACATTATTTATTATCATATAATAAAGATTTTTTCCGAATAGTTTAAACTTGAGTATCTCTCCGTGTTTGATTTATCTCCAGAAAGATGTTTCATGAAAGGTGATAACTCTCACTGCGGTCCCGGTCCGTGTCTCTCCACCGCTCCCTCTCTTCAGGGGGGTTAAGTGGATACTTTACGGTCAGCATGTGGGGTTATTTCACCGTGGAGGAGACATAATTCACTCCGGTTCTCCACCGGGTCTAAACGATCCGTGGCTGATGCATGTTAAAAATAATGGCTGCAAAATGTGATTGATACTCTGGAATGTGATCGATCCGAGAAAACGAGAAAAAACGTTCCGAGACTCCTCCGGAAACTTCTGTTCCCTCGGATCCCCGGGACTGTCCGGGGATCCGTTACTCTAACGTTAAATAATCCGTTTAACACCTCAGATCAGTTTGAACACACACAAAATCCGTTTTGGAGTTTGTTGTCAAAGAAATCCGTTATTGACTCGTTCAACGTCAGATGCAAAGTGTAACCACCGGGAATACGGTAAAAAAAAAAGGTTCGTTAAAACACCGGAGATCAGTTTCAGTAAAGAGATCCTTGATAGCACCGTCAGTGATCCGGTAGATCTGCTACACAATAAATCCACCGGCTCCGTTTCCGTGAAGTCCAAAGTAGAAATAACCGTGTGAGGCGGATAATCCCGGGTTTACACCGGGCCCCTCCGGTTCTCCGTTATTACACCGGAATCTCTTCAACTTTTCAGCCCACGGAGAGCCGCTGCTCCCCTCTCCCTCTGCTCCCGGTGGTGATGACGGTGATGAAGAGGTTTGCATCCCTCCGTCCACCGAGGAGGAGGGTGAAGGTGAGGAAGAGTCTCGTGCCGCCCGTTCAGCAGCGAGTCCGCTCGCGGTGTGCGTTTGGTGTGTGCGCACGAGCTGCTCCAACCGAGAGGCACGCGCTGAGAGAGAGAG